AAAAACGATACTCCAGAGAGCAATAAAATGTTCTCCAGCTGTTCAGCGGTGGAGCACTGCAGATGTAGTTTATTACTTTTAACAGCTGCTACGGTAACCCAGACACAAAGAGCACTTCATGATTAGGCCACACAAAACCAGGTGATGTCTCGATGATTTAGTATCCCGTTGCTGCTGGGAATAGTGCGTTGCGTCGCCTGCCTGGACACCGTCGTGTTGGAAGGGGACGGCTGGCTGCGTGTCGCAGGACACGGGCTCCAGGGAAAACTTTCTTCGATTCGTCCTGTTCGCAGCATCACGGAATCGTTTGAATCAAGAAAGCCTTCCCTGTCCATTCGCACCAAGGCCCATCCTTCTCTACCGTTTCCTTTGCCCTCCCATTACTCGTTTCTCGAGTGAGACCAGCACCTCTGTGGTAACCCTCTCGACCCTCGTCGGTTATCAGTGTTCAGAGCACGACTACACCCGTACGTGGCAGCTTGGCTCAGTAGCACTCTCGCCTCCGAATCAAAGGGTTGTAGGTTCAAGCCCCACGTCAAGACTTTGGGACTCGCGTGTCCTGCCTGACACTCCAATGCAGTCCTGGGGGTGCATTGCCTTGTCGGAGGTGCCGTCCTTCGGTTGAGGCGTTAAACTGAGGTCGCGTCTGTCTGTTCAGGTGGACGTTGAAGATCCCAGGGAACTATTCAAAAAGAGAAGGGAGTTTCTCCCATTGTCCCGGCCAACAATCCTTCAAATAAAATTGATCGCTCGCCTCGTGGCTGTTTGTGGGATTCAGCTGTGCGCAACTGGCCCACAAAGTACACAGTCGATCCATTTTACAGTACATTCTGTGAAACGCTTTGAGACGTCTCAATGACGTGATGAGGCGCTGTGTCAAATGCAAGGATTGTTATTATTAAAGGACAGAACGCCCGCAGCACTGCATTTGAACTCAGTCTTGACTGTGATTAATTCTTACTATTGTGAAGTAGTTTGTTTGTGCTGAATGATGCCAACTTAAGGAAGTAGTAGGGTGAGCGCCTTACTAACATTGCTTTGAAGCACAAGATTAAATTTTTTTTAAATCCTGAGGTAAATTGCAACGGAAACATTAGGAGGAGTCGGATCTCTTCAGGTCAAAACTTTGAGATTGCCGCATATCACTGACTTCCAAATTGCTGAATTAAGTGAATAACTGTTTGATACTTTTTAAAGGTTGTCAACTTGCACCGCCATTGAAGTTGCTCCTGTACGAAGTGCCTTGTGGGACGCGTATAGAACGAACGAAGAGAAATTGACTGGCAGGGTCAGGTTTTATCTGGGTTGTTTTAGCGGTTGCATCCCCCACATGCTTTGCTCCGATCTTGACGTACAGCACAGGAGCAGAAAGGATCATGTGGAATAAGTTACCGCACAGACCCTTTGACCGCCCCCTCCCCGCCTTGCCATTTTCAAGTGCCGCCTCAAGACCCTCCTCGTTGACTTCGGCCATCTTCCTTACCCCTTCACTCCCCGCCCTCCACCCCTCCTGATCCCAACCCCCAGCTCGGGTCCAAATCCTCGACTGTCCATTGCCAATGTAATTTGTTGTATCATCGCGGCCCTCTACAGACCAGCCCTGCGGGTTTGACATCGACTGCCTGTACGCAGTTCCCTGGAGATCACGGCAGGTTGAGGCCAGAGCAGAGTCAGGACTCTAGATTTGGAAGCCGGTGCTCACGTACAGCAGTTTTCTTTTTGGCGCTGGATCCCGAGCCTCGACTCAAACGAGGAAGAGATCCAAGCAAGGGCAGGCTCGGGCTATTTTGAACCCATTCTGAAGCACATTCGCAATGCGAGTGTTGCAGTGCTTTCCGTAACTGAAGGGTGAGACATTTCAATTTGGTTTGAATTCAAAGATTTATGACTTGTGCGTGTTGTGTGTCTGTGAGTGTAACCATGGGGAAAAAATAACGCTGAAGGATTTGGCTGGAGGATGAAGTTGGAAGATGGAGGCTAGAAGTGCAGTTGGTTAGTTAGCTCACGGCTCAGAGGAGATGCTGTTGTTGAACTCTCACTCGTGTTAACCCGCGCAGGAATGAATTTTTTTTTTAATCAACGCTGTCAGATTTGACAGCTCTGCGAATGATTCGCCGATAATTATCCTGAGGGCTTTTTTTTTTTCGTTTTGTTTTGCTTCTGCACGTCTCTTAAGTGTTTTATCCAAGAATCTGTCAGACGCGAGTCCTAGTGAATTTCACTGCTTTAATAAAAGTTCTGTTACCTTCTCTCCCCGTTTCGCTTTCGTCCTATCGTCTTTCATTGCAATAGTGCGTGCCGTGAAAGCCAGCACTGTCGATCGCGTTCCACATTCCAAGGGAGTTTCTCCAGGTGTCCTGGCCAGCAATCCCCCAGAGAAAATTAGTCATTCACCTCGTGACTGTTTGTGGGCATTGCTGTGCACAAATTAGCTGTTGCGTGTGCGCTACGAATAAGTCGCCGCACTTTACAGTAGATCCTGTGAAATGCTTTGACCTGAAAGGCGTCCCATCAAACCAAAATAAGTATTTTTATTTATTATCATTATTATTATTATTGAGGACAGGCCTGGTTTGACCTAACCCGCACAAACCTTGGCCGCGATCTTCCTCTGATCTCATAACCCGGCTGTTTTTAGGAGATTTTTCATCAAATACTCCAGCCCCCCCCACCCACCGCCACCCGTCCGCAGCAAAGATACCGAGCCTGGATACACCAGAGCAACAGCACTGACTGCTTTATTCAAGCAGCTGCCTATTTGATCTGCCTGCTTCACAGTGCTTCCCGAGTCTGTGTTGTTTAGTGAAAGCACTTGCACTTGAAGATGTTATATCACTGCGGTTCTTGGCTTGTTAATGCGGGGGCGGGGGGGGGAGGGGGGGAGGGAGGGAGGTGGGGAAATCATGCTTCCAGGCAGCTACTTGTACAAAATAATTTAGGGAGTTGCAGTGGGAGTGGAGCGAGGGAGAGGTAGCAACGATACTTCCCTTAACTTAATTGGTTTCTATAGCATTTTTATATTGGACGTTTTTTCTTTTCCATCTTGCAGGTGAGCCGAGGTGCAGCGAGCTATGCTCTCTGCTCCTCCGGTACTATATTCACAGGACCCAGCGCTGTAGCTGCAGAGCCAGTTAAAGATGTGTTTCGGAAGGCAGAAGCCTGAAATCTCTCCTGCGTTTTGCATTCGGACCATTGTCTTGCAGTTTCAGATCCAACGGGTTTTGGAGAATTCTTAAAATCGGTCAACTTCGAGGCCGGGTTTCTTTGCAGTTCTTAGAGAGCGCTGGCGAAAGGGGCTCGGAAACGAATGAGGAACTCGGGGCCTTATTATTATCATTATTACATTAGGAACCGTAAACAGGGAACCAAAGTCGCTTGTATTTTATATTTTCAAGCCTGTTTACTTAATAAGGCCGAAAGGTTGCATTAGTTCAACAGGCAGTGCTAGATAAACAATATCTGCTGGTTATGCTCATGTATAGCAATGTTACAACAATCATAATATCAAAGTCCACAAGTTCATAAGCAGCAGGAAAACATCTCTTGCTTTGGGTTTGTTCGAAGGTACAACCAGTAGCAGAATTAGTGGCTCTGTGGAGCCTAGGGGATAAGGCCAGTAGTATTCTCGTATTCATTGCAGTTCTTCTGTTCTCTTTTGCTTTTTTCCCCCCGATGTGGCCGGAAACTTGGAACAGTCGAGGTCAAGTGTCTTAAGTCGCAAAGCCTCGGCTAGAGAAGTTCTGCCAGCCCGCAGGAGCAGAAAGTAGTCTCGCGCTCTCACTGATTCGAGCTGAACACTCAGATGACCAATTCTGACGAAACAAAGTATAGCTTAGCTCGACCTCTTTTTTTCACTGCCCTCTTTCTTTTAAACGATCAGGATGGTCCGTGCGAATCTACATATCCTCATCCAACTGACGGTTGTTTTCAGGCTGGTTTTTAACAAGCTGGGCCCATCCCTGGGTACATTACCCATGAGCTGATTCTAACTAAAACAATGCATGGCCGTTATGTCAACAAGTAACAAGAGCTGGAGCTGTAATACACACGTCTAACTTCTGAACCCATTTACACTGTCATTTTCTCATAACAATTTACAACGTTATACCAACACCCCCTGTAAAATACGTCAGGCTTAGACATAAACTCTACAACTTAGCTGATTCGGATTAGGCTTCTTGTGTCCACAAATCTTTCCAATACGGACTAACGATTGCACGAGCAGTTCTGACTGAACTAAAAATAATACTTGAAGCAATAATATTTCTGATTCCCGACGGCTTGTTTATCCCTCTGCTTACCTCACTAAACCGTACATCAGCCTCCCGACGTGGCCATTTGACACGCAAATGCATTATTTGGAAGAAGTGCATCACAGCACGGCGTACAGCAATCCTACTTCATATGCAAGAGACTGGACGGAAAGGTGTGGGGTGGGGAGGGGGTTAAAAAAAATACCATCACTTTCACCTCTAAGGGTGATCCTAAAACAAACACAGCTGATGGTACGAAAGTCTCTGGATAAATTAAGTGTCGCGGAGGGGAAGAAGTTTATCAGACTTGATCCAGTCTCAAGTCGTCCTGGGTCTGCAGCACAATCTTCCCCCAATCTAGCTTTCCGCAGAGAGCTCAAGTGGGACTGGTGTCAGTAACAGAAAGATCACGTTGGTGACTCAGAAGGTTGAATTGTTGTGTATTGCTTGACAAATGTAGAGAGAGAGGCTCTACTTTGCGTCTGATGCTCAATCAACTGAAAATGAATTGAGATGGTCCTTTTTTGGGGGGATTTGGTTTCCATCGTTGATGAGGGACCCTGAACGTTCAATGTAGGATCATTTTTTTTTTATTCAGGCTTCCAGGTAAATCTTTGGAGATGCAGGCGATGTGATCTCGGCTTTCCTCAACTTGATTTTTGCTTAAACCCGTTTGTTCGGGGTATTTTTTTTCGTAACTAAATATATTAACTTTGGGGTTTTTTTTTTTGCCCTTCGTTTTTGCAGCAAACAATTTCCCTAAGACGGTGCCACCTGTTGCCCACGTGCCTCCTGCCAACCAGCCTGGCCAGGGACCCAGCCTGAAGACCCCCGCTGTCCCAGCAAGCAAACCGCAGGACGATGACTCACTGGTCCAGATGGCTGAGCACATTCCAGCTGGTCGCAGAACCCCGATGTGTGCCCACTGTAACATGATCATCAGGTGAGAGAATGAAGAACTCACACGCTGGTGGATCTTATTATCCGCGCTCCCATTAACCGCCATCGTGTGGAACGCTCTCCCTCAAACCCTCCGCCCTGACCCCTCTCTCCCCTTTATCAAATCCCGCCTGAAAAACTTGCTTTTCGACCGTACTTACGGTCAACCCCACACCCCCCCCAACTCCCCCACCGGCTCAGAGTCAGGCCCCGCCACCGTTAAGCGCTCTGAGACGCTACGCCGCGTGGAGGGCGCTATATATAAATGCAAGTCGTTGTTGTCGTAATGCGTCAAGCTATCTCAGCTGGTAGCACTCTTCACAAGGTTGGTTTGGATGAAGAAGGCCCTTCGGCCCATCCAATTTCCTCTCTCTCAAACGCCCCTCCACCCATCACGGCATCAGCTGCCTTTTAAATCAGTGTCCCGGCCGCTGCCACCTTTCCTGGCAAACTGTTCCCGTTGTTAAATACCCTTTAAGAAAAAACTTGCCGGTGTCTGTCCTGAAATGACACTTTGCAATTCCAAACCCATGGCCTCTTGTTCCATTGTCTCGGCGCATCCTATAGTAGTTTTGAGTCAGAAGGTGGGTTTGAGCCCCGCATGGAACAAGGCTGACACTTCATCGCAGCGCTGGGGGTTGTGCTGCATTGTTGGAGGTGTCATCCTTCACATGAGACACGAATCCCAGCACCCGTTCTGCCTGTTTAGGTGGGCGTTACAGATAGATCTCATGGCATTACTCGACACAGAACTGGGAGTTTGAAACACTACTTTAAACACTGTAGAAAAGAAATTCACGAGGCGAACCTGAGAAACCCTACAAAACCCTTGAAAAGAACAGCGAATCGTGGTCCTCTTGCTTTTTTCACAAACGATTTTTGAGTCCGCTCCATTAATAACAACGCAATTTACCGAACAACGGAATCGTTGCTATCGATTTGAGCGATGGCACAACGGGCCGTGGGATGATCAAAGCCTAGTCTTCTCCGTAGACGAATAAATATAATATGCCGCCCATGACTGAAAGTGGAGCAGGCAGATCCAATGAGGCGGTTTCAGCATAATTACAGTTCATGCCCTTTCTGCTGCCATTCATCTGAGTCAGCGGAGAAGGATCGAATAGCACTTCAGTTTACACCTGTTCTAATTCCAAGGCAGACTGCCTACGTCTACTAGCTTGTGTGAGCATCCACGCTAATTCATATGTTCACAAATATATTATTGCAGAAAGGGGGATTGCAGGAGTGTGCACCTTGTCGTCTTCTGGCATTTATTAAATTCCTGCTCACTCAGCTACTCTGTCCCTCCGTCAACAACGTCTGTGTGCTCTTGTTACTGAGAGCCTTCTCCGAATGGAATTGCAGCGGACATAGAGGAGTGGAAAGTTGATCCGACCTGGCACAGACCGGGTTTTCTCTGTAGTATCAATATTCCGCTAATGAATCCGCTAAATTGCTCTACTGGCACAATGTGAGGAGCAGTTTGTCCTACACGAGGACTTGCTTTGTTGGCTCTGTGATGACCTGAAAGGCCATTGATGTTAATAGATGCCTACACAGAGGGTTGCAGGTGTATCAGGTTAGGTCAGGGTTTCCATGTTAGTGTGAATAAGGAAGGACAAGGTATCCAGCTACATAGCCGCGCCTGAGGCTTTTCCTGCTATCTAGAGAATTCGACTCAGTCCTGTTGCACCTTAAGCAGATGATGGCTCCTGCACAGATTTTTCCGCTGCGCTCTCCATTTCGACACGATCCTTGTTCGATACAGTGCCCCACTTTTCTCATCCGTTGCCGCTAGCCTCTTTACAGTCTCTGAACTTATTTACACACTGATCAGACTTATCTTCTGACATCTTCGTGTTTAAGCAGAATTTCAGTTTCAGGCTCCCAATAGGATTCTGTTCTTGTAAACTGTGTTTTTATTGATAGAGCCAATTTAAACATCATTTATATAAAAAAAAACAAGGGCATCGTGATTCGCTGTTCTTTCCAGGCACCCTATGGGTGCAACACATCGCTGGTGGTTCATTGATATTTCCTGATAAAACATTGGCTGACGTTCGGAAGACTTCTCAACGAACCCGTTTGCTCAAGTGAAATTGAAACTGAAGGAGCGAGATCCTGCAAATAAAGACACCCGTTCCTCAAAATTTTCCCAAAAGCATCCGATATATTCTTTTACCTAATCCTTCTGTCTTTAAGATTGTTTCCTCCTCTTGCTCAAAACAAAGTCTACCATCCTTTATTTCTTTTTGTTTCCGAAGAGCTCCCGCACTTGGTGGAACATTTTCACTTTTAAGGTCTCGGCGAAGTCAATTTTGGTTTTGTATTTCCATTTCGACAGAGGTCCATTTCTTGTGGCCATGGGGCGATCCTGGCATCCAGAGGAGTTTACGTGTGCCTACTGTAGCCATACTCTTGCTGAGACTGGCTTTGTGGAAGAGAAGGGCTCTGTGTACTGTGAGAAATGCTACGGGCAGTTCTTTGCCCCCGAATGTGCCCGTTGCCAAAGGAAGGTCTTAGGGGTAAGTAACCAGGTCATCCCTGGAATATAACAATAATGAGCTTTACATTTGATCCAGCGACTTATCACCTCGAAACGTCTGCGCTCTCCACAGTTTTTACTGTAAAGTGCGGTGTAAAGCTTCAGTGTAAAGTCTGACCCTCTGCCGGGAGCTCTGTGACACTCCCCCGTGTGAAGGGCGCTATAGCAAATGCAAGGAATGTAAAATTTGAGGAATTGCTTCATCGGAGAATATCGGACACTTTTATAAGCGTCAAGTGGCTGCCGTGATTCACGCAATCAGATTGACTTACCCACTTTATAGGGAAGAGAACTTGAAGACTGTTTACCCTTGCGGTGGTTAACTGAGTTTGGGGCCAAATGAGGTCTGAAAGACGCTGTAAAGAAAGGGATTGAGGAGAGAGAGAGAGAGAGAGAGAGAGAGAAAAAAAAAGTAGCGTTAATGTAAAGGCTTAACAGTTTAAGTAGGCCGACGAATAAATCATTTGTTACCTAAAAAGCGCAGATTTCTTTTGTGGAACAAACTCATCTGTTTTGGGTAATGTTTCAATCGCAGAAACTTTTCAAGAAATCCGTGTGTTTTTTTTTGAGGAAGCGCAGTCTGATGGTTACACATTTATAATTCCAGATCGATTTGAAGTTTTCAAGGCAGAGGTCAATGGATTTTTGTTAGTATCAAGGGGATATGAGGCAAAGGAATGTAATTCGGGGTTGAGGTACAGGTCAGCCCTGATCTGATAGAATGGCAGAACGGGGTCGAGGGACTGAATGGCCTTTTCCTGTTCCATGTTCCTCAAACCTATCTTCTCTCTCTTTATCTCTCTTTCATGCTCATTCTTTGCTGCTGTTATTCTTGTTCCTGTCCTCTGAACTATGGCAATCTTTTAGATAAGAAGCTGACTGTCGTTTTTTTTTCCCTTCTCGTGACGCGAATGGCCTAAGTATAATCAGTTGTGTTTTTTTTTTCCCCCCCCCCCTCCCCCGCATAGGAAATTATCAATGCCCTGAAGCAGACCTGGCACGTCAGTTGCTTTGTGTGTGTGGCTTGTTCTCAACCCATCCGCAACAATGTCTTCCACATGGAGGATGGAGAACCTTACTGCGAGAGAGGTGATGCCCCCTCTTTTGCGGCTTGCTTTGCTGCAGAAAATCTGTTGCGGAGCGCCCACACCAAATGCACCCACACTACACACAAGCACAAACACACACACACACCAACCTTTGCTACAATGGAGTGCGATCGTCGGTCGGCGCTTCCGTACCGTGCTGTCACCGATCACGCGAACGATGGCGTCAGCGCGTGCGCACACACACGCACGCGTGCGCGAGCGCAGGTGGCCGGCCGTTTCCTACAGGATAAAGATCGTGGGTGATCTTTCATGGTTCGTGCCAGTCGGATTGCCTCTCCTCACCGCGTACAAAGGCACAAGCTTTTCAAGGCACTCCCTAACCCCCCCCGCGCGACGTGGAGGCCACAGGGCGTTGCAGGAAGCCGGCCGAGGGCCGACAGGGAACCCCCCGCTCACAGGCAGCGTCAAAGCGTGGCGGCGCAGCAGATTGACATTCCCTCAGAACCAATGCATCAACACAGCGCACGCATGATATACAGCTGATGTACAGTGTTCGTCATTTACTCATAATCCTTTCCAGCAAGTGTGCGCGTGTGTGCGTGCGTCTGTGCGCGCGTGCGCGTGTGTGTGTGCGCGTGTGTGTGTGTGTGTGCACGCGTGTGTGTTTTAACAATAAGTGGAGAAGATTAGTTTGAAAGTCAAGGAGGCGACTTCGTCAGTAGTTGTATTCGCTGAACTATTACTGAGACAATAGTTTGCACGAACGGCTACGATCTCAACATTTGGCTCCACGCGTGTGTCTGCCGTCACGTGCTGACACTTGTTAAAAGACCTGAAGCTTTATAGCGCGCATCGGCAATGGAACTGATCCTTTTCTTTTTGTTTCCCCCCCCCATCCCCCCCCTACAGATTATTATAATTTATTTGGCACCAGTTGCCACGGCTGTGACTTCCCTATTGAAGCCGGAGATAAATTCCTTCAAGCCTTGGGATACACTTGGCACGACACCTGCTTTGTCTGCGCTGTGAGTAAAACGTCACTGCTGACTTTGTGCGGGAGATGAGCTTGCAAACACTGATGTGCTGTGCCCTGCGAAAAAAAACCTGTGGTCTGACTGTTCCTGAGATTGTTGCAGGGAGAGGCCCTATATCTGTCTTAACTCCTTCTGGCACAGGCACTGCTCAACCTGTACCCAGAGCTTGGCCTCGATCGCTTGGTAATTGAACCTGAGTTCAATTCCAGGCAGAGGGCGAAACCTTGGGCAAGTTTCCTTACTCCACACAGAGCCTAATAATAATCCCTCCAAAACCAAAAACAATAATAAATTGGTCATCTTCAATCTACGACTGTTTGTGGGACATTGCTGTGCGCAATTGGCTGCCGCGTTCGCCCACAAATATACAGTCAATTCACTTTACAGTGTGTTCTGTGAAGCGCTTTGGGACGTCCTCCCGACGTGAAAAGCGCTATATCAAATGCAAGGATTATTATTATTATTATTATAATACTGCAGCAGACCTCAGAGAGTTGACACCGGTTACTTCCGAGGCCTCAGACACACAGTCCCCGCATTGAAATGAATGCATTTGCTCGGACTTGTAATTCCTCTGCGCTTACGTTTTTTTTCCAAAAGATGGTTCATTTCGAAGGCCCGGGATGAGTGGGTTGATTGTAGTGGGATGTGAGTAGCCTGTGTACGTACGGTAAGCAATACAATCTTGCAGTGCAATTTTCACAGATAAATTCAGAGGTTAGATCCTTCCTTCACTTTGAACGGTGCCCGAATGGCTTAACCCCATTCCCCTCCCTTCTCTTTCCCCCCCGTCCCTGGCGACACACATTGGGTTATTATCGTGAGTTCATTTGAATCGCAAGTCGTAGATTATTATCACAAGCACATCGGAATGTCCCCTTGACACGTAAGACGCTGTATAAATGTAAGATTGCGTTGGTTGTTGTGGTGAGTCCGAATTTTATTGTTAACTGTTTGTTTCTGCTTCGCTTCAGCCTTTCAAAGTTTCCTCTCAAACTGCTACATTAATTAGGAGGATTTGTTTAACATTTTGGATAAAGCTTGGATCGGATAATATTTAGTTCACTTTTTATCAGAACTGTGCATTTTATTTCACATGTTTAACATGATTAAATTGCATTTCCTTTTTTTTTAAAAAGGATAATAATAATAATAATAATAATAATAAAAAGAGAACAGACACATACAGTGGCCGTGAGTTGAATTTTGATGCATGGGCTAAGGTGGTGTAATGGCTGGTTGTCCAGATACTGTTCAAAGACCCTGATGCTTCCAAGAAAAGGGAGTTTCTCCTGGTATCCTGGGTACCAATTCCCCAGATAAAACGAGTCATTCACTGCATGGCTGTTGGTAGGACATTGCAGCTTGCATTTATATAGCACTCTTCATGGGTAGCAGCATTTCGGAGCGCTTAATTCTCTATCTTATGCTATTTTCTTACAATCGAGTGTTACGTACTGTAATACTGTTCGCCCAATTTTTCTCCCTTGAATTTCACGTCTTCCATCCCATCATCATTGTGGAGTCCTGTAGCTCAGGGGTTAGAGAACTTGCCTCGCAAAGCCAAAGACCTGGGTTTGATTCCCAGCAGAGCAAAACCTTGGGCAAGTTTCCTTACTCCACGCGCCTGAAAATAAATCCCTCAAGAAAAAAAAACAATAATAAAGTGGTCACTTCGATCCACGACTGTTTGTGGGACATTGCTGTGCACAATTGGCTGCCGCATTTCGCCCACAAATATACAGTCAATTCACTTTACAGTCTATTCTGTGAAGCGCTTTGAGACGTCTCGAAGACAAGAAAAGCGCTTTATCAAATGCCAGGATTATTATTATCATCAAATATACTGTTTTGCTACAGTTGTATTGTTCAAACGGTAAATCAAACAAATGCGAAAATACACTTAATACTTTATTAATACAATAATAATCGTCCTTGCATTTGATATAGCACCCAATCATGTCATAGAAACATCTCAAAGCGCTTCACATTATATAAAGGTTTCTGAGAGGTGAAAGTACTAAAATATTATGTAAGGTATGTTAGCCGAAGTGTCGTTCTTCGTTTTTTTGCACCTACACCATTCTTATCACCAGGTTTGTCCTCGGGAACCATTAGTAATTTACCATTGTGATCTGACTGGGTCGTTTAAACTGTACGCTGTAAATAGATGCACTGTTAAATGGGGATTTCATGACCTTTAATGAGTGTGCTCTTCTTCCAGGTATGTTGTGTTAACTTGGAGGGTCAAACCTTCTTCTCAAAGAAAGAAAAACTACTGTGCAAGAAGCATGCTCATGCAGTGAACATCTAAACATGTCGATGAGGACCAAGAGTGAAGAGAAAAGAACGGGGAAAGCGTGGAAAAGAAAATTGATGCTTTGATTTTTTGTTTTGCAAATGATGTTTAGGCCATAGCGAAATTCATTGGGATTCGAGGGGCAAATGAATTAGTGTGAGATATATATTTTTGCTCCATTCAGATCATTATAAGTGGATACTAGAGGTTAGTGAATATTGTAAGATTAGTACGTTGGATTCATTTGAATACCCATCTTGAATTATCTATTGATGTGTTGAGAAACATTTGTTTAAACTGAGATCTCTTCACCAATATGACCCAAGTTTTATTAAAAAAAAATTCTGCAAATAATCCTAACCTTCCAAAAAAAAACAAGGAATTCTGTTAGATGTTCAGATAGTGTGATTGTACTAAATTATTGACGACAACATTCACTTTTCAATATGAATCTGATCTGTATAAAATGGTGTTGAATGTATACTTTATAACCTAACCTTTAGATAGTGGATTCGGAAACGGATCAGTTATTTTTGCTTCTTTGAATATTTTTCCTGAATCTAAGCATGTTAAAGGGTCATGCAGTTGTCTAGAGAAGTGTGGGCCAGTGGGAGAATTATGGGAGAATAAATCTGATATAATTTTACAGTGGTTAGTGAAAGGAATAGTGTTTTTTTATATTAATGCTGGCAGATTCCTGTTATGGGACCATTAGTCAACAGATTTTTGAAAGAACTTGCATAACTATGAGAAATTTAGGTGACTGCAATGTTAAATGGATTCCTACATTGGTCCAGAAAACAGCAAGTTGCGTATTAATGATTATAAAGTGTTAGGTCGGTGAGGAAACAATGAAAACCCGACATTGTTGAATAACTTAGAAGAGCTGTTCATCTTTACTCTGTCATGGTTATTTCTAGGGCTGCTGGGTTGTATTAAAAGTTAATTTAGAGAAACCTTTAAGCATATCTCTGCTGAGGTGTGTGGGTGTGCGTCGGTGTGTGTGTGTGTGTGTGAATAAAAACTCATTAGGATTTGTTGAAATAGGCAATTTTGCAATAGTAGTGGTGGGAATCACAGTCACCAGAACGGAGAACCTTGTTGGGTTGGAAGGCTGCTTTTACTTGGGGCTTTTGTTGTGCATTTTTGCGGTGGAGAAGAAGCACAGATTAGAGTGGTACAGTTTCATACAGTGAAAGCCATCCCTGCATCCATTACGAAATCTTGATCCATGAGGTTACGGGAAGTGTAGATGCCGAATCAGACAGGATTGTGTCAGTGTCAGTGCATCCCTGCAGAATTCAGGAGCAGCCTTCAATCCGACCTTTATTAATATTATATAATTTCAAAGTCCCAATTCAGTGAGATGGTATGGTACATAAATGGGAGATCGGGCTGATTGGCTTTCCCCCCACCAAGAACTTTGTTCACTTTTTTCTATCCACTTTGAATCCAGTAACCCGATGGGGTGAAGGGTCAGTGATGGGGTTTGGGAGGAACAATTCACTATTCTTTATTTGGTCGGATTGCAACTCGGTTGTAAAGGTCCTAAATATAGCCAGAAAATTGCGGAAGGCACGTAGCTGTATCGCAAAACTGATGCTAAAACCGACGTTAAGTGATGCGTGGAAGTGTGATAGTCAACCCGGTATGTAATTTTGTGTACACGTACTAGGGATTTTCAGGTATTTTCCTTATGCTTATCCGTGAACCGTTGCCTTGGATGTTGGCTCGGCAGATCTGTAAAGGGTAATCGTGTGGTTTAACTGAACTTGTTTAATTCTAACTCATCCGCCACCCACTAAATGTTTAAATTCTACATTCAAAGCTCAACAGCTGCGTGAGTAGGAGTGGCTGTGTCTGAACGGAATGGAATGGAATTTACACAGTTTCCAATAGTGACTGAAAGGTTGGCCGTTTTTGACTTGTTTGTGCAACGGGCGATAGTTTGGGGGAGGAGATGGATGGGATGTCCGTGAGTTTGTGAAATATTCAGGGTACATTTGGTCTGCTAATTAATCAGCCATCTTAATGTCGAATTAGCATATGGATAAGATTAGGTGGAAAAAGTAGCTGCTCCCAGTGGGAATTCGTTAATAGCAACTCCGAACCGTTAAAGCAGGCACTAACTTAACGGCTCACAGAACTGCCCTGTCGTCTAGTCCCAAGTGCTTTGGAGTGAGGATCGGCTCGCACTCAGCCTCGCCAACCTGCCACCAACCCACAGAATTCCCCGTCAGGGACTCTTGACTTATTGGCTGCCGTGTTCGCCCACAACTATACAGTCAATTCACTTGACAGTATATTCTGTGAAGCGCTTTGGGACGTCTAGAAGACGTGAAAAGCGCTACATCAAATGCAAGGATTATTATTAAGTGAAGGAAAAGGGAGCAACAACATTGGGCTTGAATTGGGGGGGGTCAAAGGGTAAGTCAAGCAGCAAACTTACATCTGAATATCCTGTGAACATCCCACAAAGCACATAACAGAGGTAATAGAAATGTGTAATCAAATGACACCGATTGTGGTGTTGACTGTAATATCTCGGCTTAGTTCATAAAAAGCAAAGACAGAGGGCGTGATTTAAAATAAATTGCACGAGAGTAAGACACCATAGAGCGGAGTTTTAAAACAACCTAACTCTGTTACCTTTAGCGTGCCAGCCAAGCCCTGCGATAAAAAGATTCTGGGTTGGTTTTGAAACAAACACTTTATTGGGGGTGTCCTTTTTTCTATTGCAGACAGCGGGGGCAGGAAGGACGAGGGTGCGGGTGGGGGTTGGGTTGATGGATTTGTTTTTTCTGGGTTTGTGGGATCCTGCGTGTTTGTGGTTTTCCTGCCATTTACAACGCACAAAACCCGTCATGACTCAACCACCTGCTTAGACTTGATCATGATTCCCGAGGTTCTCACTGTGGCACAGAACCACTTTCGTGCCTAAAACTTGTTGCACGTCAGGTGTGCTGAACTACTACTAAAGGGAGACTGTTTGGGTAAGTGCACACAGAGGAGTAAAATGTGCCTGTGTGTGTGTGTGTGTGTGTGTGTGTGGGGGGGTGGGGGGATTCAATGCTGCACCACCTTACCATGTCGTAAAGCGGTAGATACCAATCATATGAAAGTACCCAATTCAGCAGATGCATTTTTACGGTTATTAAGCTTTTTCTTGGGGCGGGGGAGTGAGTGTCATTGCTATTCAATAATTCCATTATTTAGAGCAAATTTTGTGCCAGGGAGAAATCAATGCAGATTCTTCAGAGTATAATCAGCGTAATGTAGACTACTAGTTATTAAAAAAAAGACCACTTTTTAAGGAAAGAAGAAATATCCTTCTCTCAACCTACCTAAAGTGAAGAAAAACCCAAAGTTGAGGCAAAAGGGAGTCAGTTTAATCCAGTGGTGCATTTGTAGAGTTTATGTTGTAAAACTGTCCATTGATTTCTCTCTCCCCACTGGATCGTGGCAACAGGAATTTTGTACTCGTTGTCTTTCAAGTGCCTTCAACCGGTAACCAAAGCTTGATCACGTAAATGAACACACTCAATGTCCAGATACAGTACTGGTTTAGAAAAGGTTGTTATTAGACCTGCCGTTCAGGTTTGTCCAGGCTACTTTTGATACGTTTGGAAGAAAAACCGTTTGTAATAAAATCGAAGCCTATTTAACATAATGGTATAGAAGCGGTTTTGCATGTACTGTTTATAACTCAGAATAACATGCCACTGTTTTGTCAGCCTTGGCTAAGGCAACAGAGGTATATTTCTCAAAACCGAATGAAGTTTCTATACCTTCCACCTCACCTTTTTCTTTACACAAATGTATTTTAAGAAGGCCTTGGTGTGTTAAGTCCAACAACATGTTTTCACCAAAGCAATGTAAGCAAATCTTTCTGGAGCACTCGAATATTTGCTCGCGAGTTACGCTTTTTGTTTATTCACGGCTCTTTTAGGAATGTGTGTCCGAGGGTTGTATTTTCACTTGAATTGCTTGGTTAACAGATATGCTTCCATTCAATCAATTAGCTTGGCTATAAAAAGAAACTTAATTGTCACCTGGGTGTTTTCTTGTGCACGTTATTATGTTTTCATTAAACTCCGTATTTACTCTCTCAAAACAGTTGTTATATTTTCGAGCTTTTTCTGGTTTTGCTTTGTTTGATCTGACTATCTATCGTGTGTGTCTGTGGGAGTGAGCAGCGCAGATTGGCGCGGAGGGAGTACTGTTGCTGTGCGCATGTGCCTATTCGCTGTGTGTGTGGGTGGGATGGGGGGGGGGGGGGGGGGGGGGGAAGGGGATGATGGTGGCAAACCAACTTCCTTCGATGTAACCTTGGGAAACCTAATCCGATGTCATCGACTTCTGGAATTCCATCCCCCAGTCACTCCGCTTCGCCCCCTCCATAGCCTTCTTCAAGTCCCGCCTCAAACCCTCCTCTTCGATCATGCCATCAGCCACTCCCCTTCCCCTCCCCTCCCTTCTCCCCCCCCTGACCCCAGCTCGGGTCTGAAATGCCATACACTGTCCACTGGGACGTCCTCCCGACGCGAAAGGCGCTATGCACATGTAATCTTGTTGTTGTTGTTTAGACTCAATTCCCCAAGATGCGCTACAGCACAGTGTCATGTTAGTGTCCAAAATATATTGCAGATGGAATCCTTCAATATCTAACCAGTTAAAACCACATTGTTTGCCATTGATATCATTGTCTGACAAGCTTTCCCGTTGCTTGTCCAGCTAGGACCACCCTACCCATTGGGGCTTCAGCCAGCAGGGTCAACTGGAGCTGAGTGGGAGGATTCCCAACCCCCTGCTTGACTGACGTGTTCCATCGGCTAATCAGAGGTGAGGACATCCCGACAAGTTTTATTCAGCTCCTCCAAAGAATATATTTTGACTCTCTGCCTAGAGGTAAATGTGTAACATTTCGTGGAATTATGGCACAGAAAGAGGCCGTTCGGCCCAACTGGTCCTTGCTGGTGTTTCTACTCCACACGAGCCCCACAGGCCTCTCCTTATACCCCTAGTTCCCTCAGTGAAGTTATAAACTAATTATTGACTGGTTTCAGGTCTGAACTTTCCCGCAGTGTTGACACAGTGGTTTTGCACAAAACCTTTGGATAGTCACCTTGGACTCTGGCCCAACTGACGCTGATGCAAATCACGGTTATTTGATCGAAACATACCATCCTGGCTTAGCTTAGTCAGTTGGACGGCATTTCCCTGACTATATCTCTGAACTGATTTTAAAATTCTGTTGATGAGTTATTTCACAGTGTTGTTTTTATCGAAAGAGTCTCTGGAGCAAACCATCTTGCCGAAGCTCGTGGGAGCGTTCGGACCCGAAACTACTGAAATCAATTATTAGCTGAAATTCTGCCTTTTCGTGGATTCGATGCTGGAGAGAACTGGTCACCATTAAACGTCTTGTCTTGGAAATTATTTTCCTATTACGTGTACAACTTGTATTTATATAACGCCCTCCATTCGGGGTAGGGTCTTGGAGTGCCGCACAGTGATGAGGTTGGATGACAAGCAAGGAGAAAAGGGAGGGGACGTGACCATAGATTGCGATTGAAGAGAAAGGTCTTTGTCAGGGAAGGGGTGGAGGCCTGTGTTAGCTAAGCGAAAAGGGCGGACAGAGGTACAAGCTGGTCGGAGACTTAGGGAGGTGCTAGGGCACAAAGGGATTTGTATGTGAGGGAGAGGATGTTGAAATCAATCCTGCAATGTACTGTACTGGCAAATAAACTGGGGACCAGAAGGGACAAAAAAAAGCCTCTGGCATTACTGATGAATAAATCTGTTCCCCGTTTCCATTTAAAGTTCCTCGCAATAAATAGGAACACGGTTGTTAGTTGATTGGTGGATCGCTTTTCCGGGGGTAATACTCCCTTCAAAGAAGTAGATCGAAATATATTGATATTAAGAAAAAGTGTTCACTCAATCCATGACTGTTTGTGAGACGCTGCTGGGCACAGTTGGCTGCCGTGTTTTGCCCACAAAACATACAGTCAATATACTTTACAATATATTCAGTGAAGCGCTTTGAGACGTCTCGAAGACGTGATATCAAATGCAAGGATTATTATTATAAGATGGCATTTCTACAGTTCATCTGCAGATGTGCTTTGCTGCAAAGTCTTTTTGGAGCTAATGACTGTGTCACAGTGCGATAAAGCTGACATTGATATGAATGTGCAAACAGGGATGTGTACGATCGAGTTTCATTGAATCCAATTTTTAAAAGTACAATTGCTGTGCGGTGTTTGAATACACTCACCCGTTAACCTTGCCCGTATATGAATGAAGGAGGGAGTGGGAAAGAGGATGGGGAGAGCTGGAAATGATCTTAAAGACCTTTCAAAGCTATTATCTTCGTAAGTAATTTTCAAGGTATTTACTTAATTTGATTCTGTATTTAATTTCAGTGCTCAGGGTTATTGTTGGCGCTGAAAATGTTATCCTGCTATGTCCTGTGATCTTAATATTTGTCATGTTTATACCCTCAAGCATTCAGCTTCAATGCACACCAGTTAACTATATTGAAGTCACAAGGCATTTAATAGTCATCACCAGCTACCATACCGGCCTTACATCAAAGGGACATTAAAGCAATTTACATATTTTACCCGGTAATGAAAATTGCACAGCAGTGCTGGGGAAAACAGTCATCATTGCAACAATTTACCCTGACTGTGAGCTGAAATAAGACTGATGGATGGGATGTCAGATCTTCATCGTCATTAATATCATAGATCACGCAAAACTAACCGACAGTGCGTCCAACTCTGTTATATAAAGGCTCTTAGAAAAATATTGTTAACTCACGAGCTATGCGGTGTAGAGGGTTGCACATTTCAAATCATAATCATAATCCATGAATTTATTATAGTGGCTTATGACACTGAAATGTCTCCACAGAGGTTTCTGTAAATGGCAGTGACTGTGTGTTTGTAGGCATTGCATACAGCAGTTTTGTACAAAGTGCCGCAAGTAAATGAGCGATTTTTTTTAATCTGAAGGATTGTTGACCAGGACACCAAGAGATATGCCCTCCTCAGAGCCACGGACCATATAGCTGGACGTTATCGATCCCATGGCACAATTCAAAAGGTTAAGGGAAGATGTTCTGGGGGTGGGGTGGGCGGCCAATCAATCCTCCACATTAATTGTTCATTCATCTTTCATGTTTGTAAAAACTCATGTTTGTAAAATGCAAATGGCTGCTGCGTTTCCCCCACAAAACATTCAGTCGATTCACTTTACAGTATATTCTAAAAAGCGCTTTGAGACGTCTCGAAGACGTGATAAGGCGCTATATCAAAAGCAAAGGTTATTATGTTTGAACGAGTTTCCAGGATGCGTGGTTGAGGCCAGGTACTGGACTCATTTAAGAAACCGTTTGATGCTGTGATGGAAGAATGAGATCAAATTGACCAAAGGGCCGTCTTCATCTGAACCGCTCCTCTGAACATGTGGCTTCTTTGCAAAACTGTGCACAAATGTCTTCTGTGTTAGGAAAATGCAGTCCCTTGAATGTAGTTTACATTTTTTTAAGTATTTCAATGTGATAAGACGTTAATATTTGGATGAAGACCTGTAGTGGCTGCATTGTTTGCAGGTCATCTCTTATTTATTTTGAGACCAAAGTTAAATGCAGTAAATCTCAAATGAAGTAATAATTCCTTGGTATTGTTTATGAGTTTTCATGCTAAAGTGCAGTACGATGATTTCACCTGACTTTTTGCCACAAAAATAAAAGGACAATGCAAATCCCTTATTAAGTACTGCTCCTTTTTGTTTAAGTGTATAAATCAAATGACTACGTAGTAATGGTTTGTGGAGAAGTCAGCTAAGGCATTGACTGTAATCCACTCAACCCACTTTTGCAAGTAGTTATTAAGGTCAATCTGTGGCTTGTGCTTCAGTGAATCACTATCCGTTGGGAGTGGGGGAGGAGAGTTGTGTTTCTATTGTTCCTAAATGAGGTACAAAAATGTTTGATGCACAGGAACAACTTGCATATATAGTACCCTTCGTGCAGGGTAGCGTCTTGGAGTGCTTAACAGGCACAGTCAAAGAGGTAGATTACTAGCAGGCAACTAAAGACGGATAAATAGGGGGGAGTGAGACAGTGGGATAGAGGGAAGGAGATTAGGAGCATAGTTGCTGAAACCTCGACCACCGATGGGTGGGGGGAAGGAATATACAGACAGAAAGGGTGAGCAGAAGAGTGAGGAAGAAGCTCACAGAGATCGGCAGGATCATGGAAGGAATTATTGATGAGGGTGAAGACCTTGAAGTTGACCTGTCGGGCGATAGGGAGGCAATGGAGCCTGGCGAGGATGGGAGTGCCCGGGTTAATGACTGCTCACCAATATTCTGGCCGTATACTCAATTATTTGACATCTTTTGCAGACCAAATTCTAGGCAATTAGCTTCAGGTACAATTAACCGTTATCCAAACATTGCCACAAGACTAGTAGACCCTGAGCTGACTCTGACAGCCCTTAACTCAGGACCTGAAAATCTGTTCAGAGTAATTCACCTCATGTACTTGCCTTTCTAAATGACTTTTGACTACATACCGTAGCACAATGGTTAGTGTAATCGCCTCGCAACCGATAGATAGGACCCGGGTTCGATTCCCAGGCAAGTTTCCTTACTCCACGAGCCTCTGATTACCTAGCAGTAAGTAGGAACACAGTTGTTGGTCCAAAAGAAATGTGGTCACTCAATCCACGGCTGTTTGTGGAACACTGCTGCACACAATTGGATGCCCCAAAATAACTTTTCAATATATTCTGTGAAGTGCTTTGAGACGTCTCAACGATGTGATAAGGCATTATATAAAACGCAAGGATTATTATTGTTGTCATTAAATCATTACTGTAATTATGTGTGGTGAAAAAATTACTGAACAATGTAGCAGTGAAGGTACTTTTTTTTTTGACTCATCTCTCAATTGTATTGAAAACCATGAGGCACAGTTGTAACCAGGCTTTTTCTTTCCTGGGAATGTGGTTGCAGTCTCAGAGATATTAGATTAAAAGCTAATGAGCCTTGGTTGAGAGTAGAAATTGGATGATTTTTTATATTCACATAGTGATAATG